GTGTCAAACTCCTGGCCTGAAAAAATTGTCCTGCCTTAGCCTCCCCAGGAGCTGGGACTACAGGTGCAAGTACCTCGGCGACCTTATTGGGAAGTCAGGACTTCTCTGAGAGAGCTTTGAACATTGTCAGGATTTTAGAATAGAAAAGTCTCTACTGGTAGTGATAAAGGTTAAGAGCTGTCTTAGCAACAGATAACTCTTAGATAGTTGGCTACATTTTGGCTATGAGAATGAAGAAATCTTTGTTAGAATCATATATTAATATACTTATTAACAATGCCTATATCTCATATAGATATTATGAGATTGTCCTGTTAAGAAATTATCCTTTTAAGATTTGTCATGCCTTTCAACTCAAAAAACTCCCATAGCCAAAATGCAACTGAGATCTGAAATTTTAAATTTTTGCACTCTGTTTTGTCAGATTTCTAGTTGCTCTCTGGACTTTGACAGACTTCACTGGCAAAGCAAAACTGATGACTTACTTGTATTTCTGATTCCAGTTCTATCAATTCAAAAGGATTCTTTTTGAAGAATCAAAAAGTATTCTCAGCAGACTTATGCAAATCATTACTAGTTATTGCTCTGCGTACTTTTATTAAAAGTAGAATTGAAAAACATTAAGAACTTTCTGGGGTAGTCATAAATTATGTTAGTGCTAGTTTTTCTTAAAGTGTGCTCTTTATTAATTTTATTTTTGACAATTCCCGTCACCAAATCTATGACACAACGTTCTTTCCCTAAGTTAAAAAACTAATTTCAAAAACGATTTAAGGAATACTGTGGGGAAACAATGCTTAACAATCTATAATCATTCAACATAAAAACTTAAGTGGTTGAAAAAAATGGAAGTTTTAAAACATTGCTTATTTTGTTCATAGCAAGTCATAATTGAAGTCTCCAAAATATGATTTAAAATTTATCTTTTTGTAAATTAATACAATATTTCATATTTATCAGTGATGTCAAAGCTTTCAATTTCCAAGTAAACATTGGAAAATTTTTAATTTTCATGTGTCTTCATTAGCTTATTTTTTCCTTTCTTATAAAATTCATTTACATCTTATTTATTTATTTATTTTTGAGATGGAGTTTCACTCTGTCGCCCAGGCTGGAGTGCAGTGGCACAATCTTGGCTCACTGCAACCTCCGCCTCCCAGGTTTAAGCGATTCTCCTGCTTCAGCTTCCCGAGCAGCTGGAACTACAGGCAAGTGTGCACCACCACATCTGGCTAATTTTTGTATTTTCAGTAGAGGCAGGGTTTCACCATTTTGCCAAGGATGATCTTGAAATCCTGACCTCAGGTTGTCCACCCGCATTGGCCTCCCAAAGTTCCTGGATTACAGGCTTGAGCCACGGTACCCAGACTACATCTTGCACTTAAAGAACTTTTTTTTTTTCCACACGACATTTCTCCTCTGTATTGTGTAATCCCAGCCACACCTATTATTATCCCTCCTCATTTCATTCATGCTTGTTCCTTTTATTTACTCTGCCCCTCCAGCTTGGAGCTCTTGTGCGTTTAAGACTATGTTTGTAACAATTGTCTTGCAATAGTAAGCAGACCTTCCACTGATTCAGCAAAGATTTATTGAGCACCTATTATGTGCCAATGAGTATGCTAAATTTGGGAAGTAAGATAATGATAATTCTGTTGAGCTCTTTGAGGTTTGGGATATGTCTTCCTCCTGGTATTCCCTAGAGCTGAGCACACACCTGAACCATGATTGGTCTTCCATAAATCATTATTAAAAGTATAGCTGAGACAATCCTAAGCAAAAATAACAAAGCTAGAGGCATTATGCTACCTGACTTCAAACTATATACAAGGCTACAGTAACCAAAACAGCATGATATTGGTACCAAAGCAGATATATAGACGAATAGAACAGAACAGAGGCCTCAGAAATAACGCCACACGTCTACAACCATATGATCTTTGACAAACCTGACAAAAACAAGCAATGGGGAAAGGATTCCCTGTTTAATAAATTGTGTTGGGAAACCTGGCTAGCCATGTACAGAAAGCAGAAACTGGACCCCTTCCTAAAACCTTACACTAAAATTAACTCCAGATGGATTAAAGACTTAAATGTAAGACCTAAAACCATAAAAACCCTAGAAGAAAACCTAGGCAATAACATTCAGGACATAGGCGTAGGCAAGGACGTCATGATGAAAACACCAAAAGCAATGACAACAAAAGCCAAAATTGACAAATGGGATCTAATTAAACTTAAGAAATTCTGCAAAGCAAAAGAAACTTGTCATCAGAGTGAACAGGCAACCTACAGAATGGGAGAACATTTTTGCAATCTATTCATCTGACAAAGGGCTAATATCCAGAATCTACAAAGAACTTAAACAAATTTACAAGAAAAAAACAACCCCATCAAAAAGTGGGCAAAGAATATGAACAGACACTTCTCAAAAGAAGACATTTATGCAGCCAACAAACATATTAAAAAAAAAAGCTCATTATCACTGGTCATTAGAGAAATGCAAATCAAAACCACAATGAGATATCATCTCACACCAGTTAGAATGGTGATCATTAAAAAGTCAGGAAACAACAGATGCTGCAGAGGATGTGGAGAAATAGGAACACCTTTCCACTGTTGGTGGGAGTGTAAATTAGTTCAACAATTATGGAAGACAATGTGGTGATTCCTCAAGGATCTAGAAGCAGAAATACCATTTGACCCAGCAATCCCATTACTGGGTATATACCCAAATCATGCTACTATAAAGACACATGCACACATATGTTTATTGAAGCACTATTCACAATAGCAAAGACTTGGAACCAACCCAAATGCCTATTAATGATAGACTGGATAAAGAAAATGTGGCACATACATACCATGGAATATTATGTAGCCATAAAAAAGAATGAGTTCATGTCCTTTACAGGGACATCAGTGAAGCAGGAAACCATCATTCTCAGGAAATTAACACAAGAAAAGAAAATGAAGCAGCACATGTTCTCACTCATAAGTGGGAATTGAACAATGAGAACACATGGGCACAGGGAGGGGAACGTCACACACTATGGCCTGTTGGAGGTTGGGGGGCTAGGGGAGGGATAGGATTAGGAGAAATACCTAATGTAAATGATGGGTTGATGTGTGCAGCAAACCACCATGGCACATGTATACCTATGTAACAAACCTGCACATTCTGCACATGTATCCCAGAACGTAAAGTATATATATATATATATAAAGTATCCTCAAAAGCCCATCTGCCTTGTGAAGCACTCCATCTGTATTAACTGTTTCCTCTTAGCTCCTATAATGTTTATCCAAATTTTGGGGCCATTCCATGTGCCAATAAGTAAAATATAGGGGAGCAAATATTGTTCTTAGATTGTCAGATGAAATTTACTACTAGGGCAACAAGCTGCCTGACTGCAAGGAAGACGTACTGTGCACACATGGCTTTAAGTGCCTCACTGCTGTGTTGAGCCAGGTTGTAGTACAGCATTTGCTTGACCTGTGGACTTTCTGGTTAGGATGTCCGTTGTAGGTAAAAACCAATCTGTGGCAGTGGTAACCTCATGGGGCAGCACCTGAAATATGCCTTTTATTTTGTGACCCAGAGACCAAAAAGTTGAAGAATATAGAATGCATAACAAAATTAGGTTGTGTATTTTAAAAATATACAGTGTAATTATTTGTATTCATATCACAAATGAAGTGAATAAAATGTAAGATATGTAAAATCAAGGTATTTGCAAAGTTAAATTAATGTATTTATTTATAAGTAAAATAATACATAAGTATATATATATTTTTTGAGACACAGTCTCACTCCGTCACCAGGCGCCAGGCTGGAGTACAGTGGTGAGACCTGGGCTCACTGCAACCTCTGCCTCCCGGGTTCAAATAATTCTCCTGCCTCAGCTTCCCTGGTAGCTGGAACTACAGGCACATACCACCATACCCAGCTAATTTTTTTGTATTTTTAGTAGAGACGAGGTTTCACCATGTTGACCAGGAGGTTCTCGATCTCTTGACCTCGTGATCCACCTGCCTTGGCCTTCCAAGGTGCTGGGATTATAGGAATGAGCCACTGCACCTGGCCAACACACAAGTATTTTTAAGCTGGAATACATTCCAGAAAAATCTTATAACTATTCCCCAACCCTTCTGTAGGTAATTGAAATGAAATTGAACTGAGGTGAAATGTGTACATTAAATTATTCAATTATTGACTGATCTTGCCGATTTAGCTTAATATAACTTTTGTTCAGTCAGACTAGCTTCTAGAACAGTGAAAACTACAATCACGTTTATATTGACATAGCCAATTTGTGTATTGTATGGTGTTGAGTCACACATGCTTTTGAAATCTCTGCAGCATCATTCTTTAGTTTGCCCAACTTTCTTGTGAAGAGTGAAGATCCATGCCGGCTAATTTTAATAAACTTTCATTTAAAAAATGTATGATATACTAGTTTTCATGCTATTAAGAGTTTTGCCTTTTTCATGATCAGATTTGTTCAATGCCATTTCCTCCCTTTGATTTGTTTCTTTTGTGGAGAAATTACCCCTTTCAGGAGCAAAAGAGTTGATGAAAGAAAACACTCTCAAAGTCAAGTTTGCTTTAGGCTGCATACCTGAAAAGGGTGGGAGGCTGGGAGGAGAAAGAAGAGGAACACTAACAACCTAAACAGCACAAGACTTGGAACTTGAAATTAAAAGGATATACACCTATCTATGTATTTCTGATGTATGTGTCATAGCTTCAACCAAAGTTCACAATCCATAGAATTTTGCGTAAATAAATATAATTGGGTAGTTTTGACTCTCCTTGAAAATAAATTTTGCCAACCATCTTCTTATTAAAATATTTTAAAACTAAACACACAACACAATTATATATATCTCCACAAAATGCCATTAGGTTTTGTAACAGAGTGTCAACCTACTTAGATTATAAGCTCATCTTTTTTATGTATGTGTTTACATATGACATAGATGCTTTTTTTCTACAGGCAGCATGATATAGTGAAAAGAATATGAGCTTCTGGAATTAGAAGAACTGGGCATGAGTCCCAGACTACACTACCTGTTATGTGACCTTGGGTAAGTCACTTAATCTGTCTGAAGCTTGTTTTTCTTGCCTGTCAAATGAAAAATAAGTGACAGCAATAGTTCAGATTTGGTGTGTGGATCATATAAATAATATATGTGAATGCGCTTAGAAAATTGTGAAGCATCATGCAAAGGATAGTTATTTTATTTGGGATTAACTAAAATTTTATTCTAAATTGGTGCATCCCTAAATAAAAGAAATGACTGCTAATGACTATAGTAGCCCTAATTTTATCTAGAAAATGTTTTTGAACTTTGAATTAGCAAACTTTCAATGGGTTTAGAATTTTTTTTAACGAAAAGAATCATTATATACTTCAAGTAATTCAATTAGGAAAAAATATAAGCCTCTGCCTGCATCCATTCTGTGTTGCTATAACAGAATACCTGAGACTGGATAATTTATAAGGGAAAGAGGTCTATTAAGCTCACAGTTCTGCAGGCTGGGAAGCTCAAGGGCATGGTCCTGGCTTCTGGTGAGGGCATTTGTGCTGCATGATAACATGGTGGAAAAGGTCAAAGGGAAGGCGGACATGTGTGAAGAAACAAAATCTGAGAGGCATCTTGGCTTTACAAAAATGCACTCTCAGCTGGGCACGGTGGCTCACATCTGTAATCCCAGCACTTTGGGAGGCCAAGGCCGGTGGATGATGAGGTCAGGAGATCAAAACCATCCTGGCCAACATGGTGACACCCCATTTCTACTAAAAATACAAAAAAAATTAGCTGGGTGTGGTGGTGGGTGCCTGTAATCCCAGCTACTTGGGGGCAGAGTGGGGACAGGGAATGCTGAGGCAAGAGAATTGCTTGAACCAAAGAGGTGGAGGTTGCAATGAGCCGAGATGGCGCTACTGCACTCCAGCCTGGCAACAGAGCAAGACATCGTCTCAAAAAACTTAAAAACAAACAAAAACCAAATTAAACCTGCACTCTCATAAGAACAAATCCATTTCCCTGAGAACTGTTTCAGTCTTGCCTGAGCAAGAACTCACTCAGTACCTCGAAAATGACACCAAGTCATTGATGAAGGATCTGCCCTCCTGACCCAAGCAACTCCTCCTGGGCCCCACCTCCCACTATCACCACAATGGGGATCAAACTTCAACCCGCTCTTTGGTGGAGATAAACTCAAACCTCCTTTAAGAGCATCCCCTGGAAGCTGAATCACCTGATCCTTATGCTAAGTTTGTCTTGTTACCAGATGAGAACCAATTTTTCCCTCCTGCCTAGAAGCCCCTTTAAGCTATGGACTGATAAGTGAGAAAAATGTCTAGGTCAGGGCACATGCAGGAAGGGATAACTTACCCATTAGATGTAGCAGGCACAGGGCCAAGGATACACTATACCTTTAAATGTCCATAAAAATGTTTTAATTTCTTTTGAAATAGGAAGAAAAAGTGAACTTTTAGATCAGAGTCAATGTTTTAATATATAATATTAATATATTCATCCTTATACCAATGAGTCATAAAATATAACTTTTAATATTTGCTGAAGCTCTGGGCAACCCAAAATGAATCCTCTGAGAAGCTCAGTTACCTGCAGTCCAAGGCATTGTTCCAACAGCAGTGGTGTTGCCAGGAATCAGAGATGTGGAGTGATTAGTTCTATCTTGAGAAATAGGGAAGACTTTGCAGAGCTGATATTTAAATCAGTGTTTTAAGGATAAGTATGCTTTCTACTGGTGGAGATATTAGACAGGGCATTTCAGGGAGAAAAAGCAGCATGAACTAAGGGATGGGGCTGTGTGGGAGATAGAACCTTGAAACTTAGCAGTGATCAGTAACCAACAATAGCCTCTTCACTATAAAGCCGTGGGGGAAAGTCCATTATTTACATTGTCAAATCTTGCTAAGTTTTCTCCATTAATCTTACATTAAATCATTTTAAAACAATAGCTCAAAATTACATGAACATCTGCAGAAACACCTAATGAATAAGTAGTGGGTTGTTCAAACAGCTAATGAGATTAGATTGGATTCATAGAAATGTGTCAAGAACAAAGCAAACTATTTGATGTATTAGTTATTCTCTGGTTGCAAGCAACAGAAACTGACTCTAGATAATTCAGACAAAAAGAAAGAAACAGACGGAAAGAAGAAAGGAAGCTGGCCCTGCTAACACATGATATTGTTTTCAAGATCAGAAGTGGTTTTCTTGTTTTTGCACAACTGAATCAGCTAGAATTTCCACCTAGAGGTTCTATTTTGTTCTGAAAGCCACTGGGCCAATTCCATCATTTGTTAGGTCCTCTAAGTCAGTACTCAGATTATTTAGCACCAAATATGCAAGCTGATCCATGTTCCATATTCTTAGTAACGCTTGTGGCTTGCTACAAGACTGATATGAATTTTGTGGTTAAATTCTAGAAACTATACTTTAGCCTGTTCCTAAATCAAGTCCTCACATTGTAGCCTAGTTCTATGGTCCTCTTTCTTTTGATCTATTTTTCTCTGCTCCTCAAGATCTCTGTTCCTCATCTCCAGCGACCTGTGAGCAGGGCTGATATTTATGCCCTGCATTGTGCATTGGACTGGTTATTTGCACAGATATCTGTTCTGATGTATTGAGGCATCTTTCCGGTGGTCTATGGCATCTGTTCTGACTAGTTGATGCCTGTATATACCAGTGGTTAGATATTTCTCCAATAAATGAAGATTCTTTTTGTGGTAAAATATTAGCTTTAGCCCCCTCTTAGGATGAGGCTAGAATTATTTGTCCACTAGAAAAATATTATTTTCAGAGGTGGATTCTATTTCTGTCATTTAAAGGGCCAGTCGTAAATGACTCTAATAAGAGCTGTTGACTGATTTGACTTTCAGTATGCATAACAAATATGACAGAGGCCAGATCTTAGGGACCAAAGAACACACTGGCCACATGTTGTGCCTGCAAGGAAATCACCGTGCAGGAAGGACTTCTCCTGGATTTAGAACCATTCAGTTAATATTTTTTGTTTTTAAAATTATGGAAGGTTTCTTATTACTTTTTTGAAATTTAATTATTTAAAATTAATTCGATTTAAAAATAGACAAGAGTATCACAATACCCTTGAAAGGTAATTGAATAGAACCTCAGAAAAATTTATTCAAGTATTCTCTCAAATATCCATCCATCCATCCATCCATCCATCCAGCCATACAGCCATCCATCCATCATCTTGTTGAATTTATCTATCTACCAGGAACTGTGCTTCCAAATAGTAAAAGACTCTCAAGAAGCTCACAGACTAGTACAGAAATGAACATACAGGCAAACAGTTTCAACACCATTGTGAAGATAAGTTCACATGTGAATGAACTCACACAAGTTCCACAGTGGTCTAACAAAAACAATCTTAGACACAACTGTAAATCTGGATTTGAATTCTGGATCTCCTCTTATTAAAGCTACGAGTTTGAGTGAGTTATTTAACATCTCTATTTCACAGTCTCCTACTATGCCTGTTGTAGGGGCAAAGGGAAAACTTCCCTTTTACCCTCTGAAGGTTCACTGAAAATCACTGGCAAAGATGGATTAATGGGAGAAAAAGCATGCAAATTTATTTGATAAGAGTTTGGATATGATACAGGAGCCTTCAGAATGAAGACCCAGAGATATGGGGGAAACTGTTCATTTTTATACTTATGTTCAACATAGTATGGAAACAGGATTGGACAAAAAGGGTACGTTCTTCTGCTAATGGACTGAGTGGGGAAACTTAGAATCTGTTTAGATTCTTCTCGGCATCCCTGTGCAGCCATCCCTTCCTTGTGGATATAAGGCAGGACATTCTCTGGAATGGTGGTTTTATGACCTACAATCAAGCAAGGTAGGTCAGATAATTTTTTGATGACCAATTTTTACACAGAAAGGTGAAGGAAAGTTAGAGTAAGATTTTTAGGTTTCATGACTGTTTAGAGGAAACAGGTTCTGATTTCTATGATCTGTCCTGGGGAAGAGGGATTCTAGCTTCTGTGGCTTGCCTTGGGGAAGAATGAGGGGCCGGAAACAGAAGGTTAGAGAAAATAAGAGTGAGCTGCTTCTGAGGCCTTCATTTTGGGTTATCATTTTCTGAGCCTTAACAGTGTATGATGTCACTTGCCTGACCATAACATATGCCCATTATTTTAGCTACCTTCTCTCTGTCTCCCTGCTTCCCTTTCATTCACTTCTGGGCTTTGGTTTCCTTATCTCAAAAAAGAAAGAGTTTAATTTGACTTCTGGGTTAGGAATCTAAAGGTCTATGTTTTAGAAACAATTCCCCTAAGCTTGAAAGATGTCCATTCTTTACTTATGGTCAAAAATGTAATATTCTGTAAATACGGTAAATCATAATTTAATAACATTGATTGGTGTCTCTAACACACCAAGCTCTTTCTCACCTTGAGGACTTGGGGCATCTTGTTCCCTTGCTTGCAGATTCCCTTCCCCTTTGCTTACCTGACTGGCTCCTGCTTAACCTCCAGGTTTCAGTCTAGAAGTCACTTCCTGCTAGCTCAGATGTTTGTACTACCAAACCTTATGTTGAAATTTGATCCCTGATGTTGGAAGTGGGGCCTAATGTGTTTTAGTCATGGGGATGGATCCCTCTTGAATGACTTGGCGACATTCTCGTGGTAATGAGTGAGTTCTTGTTCTGTTAGTTCCAGTGGGAGCTGATTAATTGTTAAGAGAAGTCTGGCCCCTCCCCACTTGGTCTCTTACTTTTCCTTTCATCATGTGATCTCTGTACACATCAGCTCCCCTTCACCACCTGCCATGAGTGGACACAACCTGAGGCTTTCACCAGATGCTCACTCTTCTAGCTGGCAGAATTGGGAGCCAACTAAACCTGTTTTCTTTACAAATTACCCAGTCTTCTGTATTCCTTTATAGCAACACAAACAGACTAAGAGACTTCCCCAAGGATGGTTTCCGCAGATAATTTGCAGTGGGCTAATCTGTGAATTTTCTTGAGTCTCTACACTCAGCCTGTCAAAATAGCCACCATACATAGCCATCTGCCACTT